CTGTACATGTCCTCCACCAGAGCTACATTAAATATTGGTTGAGGTAATTATATTTTCCTCTTGGGCATGGACAACTTTGAAGTATGGTTCTGTGTCCCAAAGGAAGTTCCTAACTCCTTGGCACTCTTTGTTCTTTTTAAAGGGTTTGGGTTTGATACATGAACTCTTGGTGGTTCAAGAACATTAGTTGAGTTGCTTAAAGCACTTTTTGACATGTTTAGCTCCTTGGCTAGTGTTTTGATATTCTTGTCGAATACATTGGTGAGGCTAGCCCATAAGACTTTAGGCCCCCCACATGGGTTTCGAAAGCACTAAGTTGCTCATCACAGATCGCCACCAATCCATTGAGCAGTTTGGCAAGAGCTCCAGCACCCCCTCCTTTGAGGCAAAGCAAGCAGCCAAATGGTTAAGTTACTTTACCTGCTGCTCCACCTAAGTTATATATTCAGCAACGTTAGGACTGACCATCACTTGAATGTTGGAGTGACACAACTCTAATACCAAATGTCATGAGGCTTTTTTTCTCTTGCCTAGCCATGTGGCCATGGCTCGTCAATCTAGCTTCCTAGGAGAGGCTAAGTTCAGCGTATCCGACGCAGAAACACCTCCAAAAGAAAACAACCAAAAGGGAAAAGGGATGTGGCCCATTTGTATTGCGCTTTACCCTCGTAGGTAGACTGCACTAGATGCCCCTCAAGGGTCTACGCGTGGGGCTTATATAGATACATATTTTTGTATTCAAATTTGTGGGATGCCTGGTGGCTGTCCTTTACTCTTGCATGGCCTACTTGCCGCATCATTACACACACTTATGTTCATGGCCGTTATATAATCCATTCTCTCTAGCCCACTCGTGGTCTAGAGGTCACCTTGCTTGAATTTGAACTTGACTATTATCGTCAAACCACCTGCCCAGCCCAAGCACATTTAATCCCATATTCTATTCCACTTATAGTTGTTGGGTGCATAAGTAGGAGTGGTGGATCGCCCCATGCCTAAATTTTACTAACTCAGGAGCACATGAGTTTGCTTGTTTGGGAGTGTCCCTGGAATATGTCTTATTTATTATTTATATAATATATGAACCTAGGACTGATTGTTATGTTGCCCCTAGAATATATATATATATATATATATATATACACGGGCTTTTCTGTGGTTCAAACCCCATGAAATTCTATAGGTTACATTTAGAAAAAGAGTGTAAACTTTTAGAATTACCTTAGCTGTCGATATCTTTATTCCAGGGCTGTAAAATGAGTAAGGGAACTTTTGTCATTAAGAAGGGTATTGTTGATATTTTCACTAAAAATATAAGGGTAGTTATGGAGAGAAATTCTAGGTACTTTATTATTATAAATGCCATTGTCTTTTAGTAAATATTTCAAAAGTACCCCTTTTTTAAGATGACCATCATGGCCTTTGTCTTTTAGTAAAAATATCACCAATACCTTTTCCAAAAAATGCCCTTATTGTATAGTCATGGAATAAAGG